TGTATTGCCCGCATATGTTTAAGTGCACCCATGTTGTGCAATGCCCGCAGAATTCAGAAGAGGGCGTTGGATCCCCCAGAACTGGAGTTACAGAGGGTTGTTAGCCACCATGTGGGTAATGGGACTCAAACCCGGGTCCTCTGCAAGAGCAGCCAGTGCTCTTAACCGCTGAGCCATCTCTCTAGCCCCATGAGCAGGATTTTAAATCACCTCTTTTGCTTCTTTCATCCCTAATTGTCTTTCTTTTTAAAAATCTTTTTGGGACAGCTGGCCTTGATCTCATAGAGATCTACCTGCCTCTGACTCCCTAGTGCTGTAATTAAAGGAATGTGCCACCATGCCCGACATCATCCCCTAGTTATGCCTTCTTTGTGCCTTTACGTTTCAGCAGAAACTATGTTCCAAATATTGCCTTAAAAAAAATAATCACACCTACCCCCCTCCATTGTGCTTATTTTGAAGCCTCCAGTTTATGGTCTGAACTACTAGGCCATGGTAGTGACCCTATAATGGGACCCAGTGACTGAACATGAGTGTCACAAATTTGGCAATGGTGAGAGGCTTCTGAACATACAGTCACCACAAATTCAAAAATATGTAAGGAATCCCAGGTACTCTGGCAGTGCACACCCATGTTGCCTCACACCCATGTGCCTCAGCTTCACACAGAACCTGCACACTTTGCACTGTGCATGCCATCCCAGCACACACCACCAGTGAATTCTGCTGAAACAACTCAGCTCAGAACTGAGACGATGTTATAAATTACACTGTTTCTAGTATATACACAAAGTTTTTTGCTCTTAAAACAATGGTTTAATTACAGAAAACAAAGACTTTTAATATTTTCTCACAGGAGCATGTATCAAATTGGTACAACTTTGGTTTGTAGCATGTTAGAATGTTTGATTTTAAAAATTGCTGTTTGAGTTCATAAAAATTCATCAAATAAATTTTGGTTTGGGATTAGGACAGGATTCTCAAGTTTCTGAAATGGCCCTAAACATACATCTGTTTTCTACATGTTTATACATTTGATTATAAAATCAAAATAGCAATAAACTCTGAAAAACAATGAAGATGCTCTATGTCTTGCAGTGTTATATATTTGCCAGGATTTATGTGAAAATAAGAATGAGCCAGGTGTGGTGGTGCACAGCATTGGTCCCGGCACTCAAGAGGTAGAGGCAGGCAGATCTTTGAGACTAGCCTGGGCTACACATTCCAGGCCAGTCAGGGCTATGTTGTGAGACCCTTGTCTCCAAAAGTAAACAAGCAAGCAAAATAAACAAAACATCTAGCTCAGTATGTTTTCACTTTAATAAATGACAAAATTATACGTATACCAAAAATTGTTTTTAAAAAACTTTATGATTTATTATCACTAAATGTTGGATTTGTACACCTGTTTTATATGCCTAAATACCCAGGATTGTGTACAAAATTATTGGGCAAAAAGGATTAAGTTCTTTAATGGACTTAGTCTTTATGGCAGTAGTTTTACATCAACATCAGAACATTACAACCTTTTGCTAACATTCCTCTTCTGTCTTCCCTGCAGTTTGCCCCACACAGCCTTGTGGTAGTATGGGATTGAGGGCTAGCAGGTGAGACTACAGGCAGAGATTTATTGATTTCTCATTTAATTTAGTCTTGAAATTCCCACTTCAAATTACACTAAGAAATATAAATTTATACACAGTTTTTTTTTTTTTTTTTTTTGAGATAGGATCATGCTACATAGCCCAGGCTGGCCACAAACTTGTGGTGTTCCTGCTCCTCTGCCTCTTAAGTGCTGAGATTACATACAGGTGTGTGCCACCATGCCCATCCCTTTTCTATTTTGCATCTTTTTGTGATGAAATACAAAAAGTGCATTTCAAAACAGTGTTTCCAGCTACCTGGAAGTTTACAGTCATTCTTGAGAGAGGTGCTTACTATATAATTCTATGTTGGAATTATTCATATTTTAGTCAGCACTTTGAACAGATTTTCAATGTATGTTGGTTTCTATTGTTGGGAATGAGTCAAATCTCTGGTCACTACAACTATCTCATTTTATTTTCTGTATCTTTCATTTGCAAAAGTCTATTTTATAATTTCCTGTGATAGTCCCAAATGACTTGGCATCTTTTATTTCTTAATTTATAGCTTTTTATAACGTCAACATCTGAAACTTGGATAGAACCTTTTCTATTGTTTTTACTGGTGGTAAAAAACAAAACCAAAAAACTGTAAAGCCCAAAATTCCACAATGGAGATACCTTCCACTAGAGATCTAAGTCTAACTCAAACTGAGTCGTGTGTAGTTAGCTAAATTTTAGACATCCTAATCCCTATACCCAGTCTTTTCAAATGTGTTTCATTCAAGTCCTGTTAACAGAAAACTATACATTCTTTTCTCTTATCCTAACATCCACACCCCCACATTAAAATTCAGCAGTCAACTCTGCATTCTCTTTGCAACTTTACAAATCTGAAAGTATTTGAGTTATTTTTAAAAAATCTAGCAGTCCTGTAATTCAGCCATCGCCATAACCTGCCCACTTCTCACCTGCTCCATTATTCTATGTTTAAGATCAGTTCTTCTTGGTTCCTTGTGTCTTTTCAGATCCTAAATAAAAAGCACGGTTGGTGCTGAAATACGGAACCATATGATGTATAAGTGACTGTAAGTATAAATGCTGGAGCAACAGGAAACACTTGAAATCGGCAGTGATTTAGATGTAGCAACTTTCATTTGGTGGTCTTGAGCGTGTTGGCAAGTGCCTGAACTATGCCCCTAGCTCCAGACCCAGCAATCTAAACTTTCCCCATAGCGCTTGCATTTTGGCTCAAGTCAAATTACAATTACAGAATTGAATCCACTTAATGAACAATTTGTTTATTCTGTACTCTAAATGCCCCATCTCACATTTCTACAGCTGTTGCTCAGACTTTCTACCTACAGCTGTGGCTTATCTCTGCCTTTTCATATTACTTCCAGTTGAGTCAATGTTACTTTTGTGAAGCTGAAAGATCCATCAACACACTATTACTTTTAATTACCATGCTGCCTTCACACTAATGATGAAATGCTCACCCTTTCACCTCTAGTATTCTTCCAGGAGGACCTCTGAGCATTAGCTCAGCTCTACTCCATCTGGGCCAGCCTGCCATTCTTCTCAGCTCATCCACATGTGCTTACAGTGACAGAGAACTGTATTCCACATGACCACATGCCAAAGAAACGTTTGCCTTTAACCTTTTACTGGTTAATGCAGGGGAAATTGTAATATTAAACATTATGCTTTATCTGATTTCCTGGCTTTTTAAGTTCTGGGTAATAGTTAATGGCGTATTTACTTGACGTTTGCAATGAATGATATAGACTCAGTTGCATTTGAACTGCAAGTGAGAATGAGGGGTGGAGAACTCCATGCTGACATTTACTCATGACAGCACTCTATTAGCAGTGACTACCATATTTATTCTGCTGGTAACAGCTCCTAAAAAAATCTAAAAACTGAACACAATCAGTACTGTTTATGAAACCAACCAAAAGGGTTATTGATTCAGGTATGAGAAAATTGGTAAAGCTCAGGAAAAGTTTCAAAGTTTGAGAAAAAAAAAGAATTGTTATCACTGTCCAGACTTTCTCTAACGTTAAATAAGGCTTTACCAAAGAAGTATAAATACAGTCTAATCTCATCCGAAGACAAATATGAAGCAACTACCTCTAAAAGATCTTTGTTCACACAGCTGACAAAATACTTCCAAACAGACCAGAAAACAGCAAATGAAGGATGACACTGGGTTGCTCCAGGCATTCATTTCAGGCCAAACGTCATGCTAACACCAGCTCATGTGACCCACACTATAATCCACCAAGGACAGCTCCTAGCAGATGTGTCCTGAGACTCCGAGAATGCTGTGTGTCACATACAGACGGCAGAGCCGAGAATCCATCACAGCCTGGTCCACACTGAAAGCTCCTGAGACTTCCTTACAAGACTTTCTTCTAGGATAAACCAAACACTACTGAAGCACAACTTATTTCCACTTCTATTCCTCTAGTTTGGCCTAAGATTCCTTATCAACACAGCCCATGTTTCTTACATATATTGCTTTCCCAATCAATCCCTGTTAGAGTAGCACTATTGAACAAACTGTTGTTAAATGACAAGAGGCACTGAATTCATCATCACTGCCTAAAAGGGCTAGGACATGTTAGTCCAGTGGTTTTATCTAGAACAAGGACCAACATTTTAACACATTTAAAATAGGTACATAAGCTAGCACACTGAATAGGTGGGAAGTAGGCACAGTGTTAGAATACAGGGTTGCTGCTCTCTGGTGTGATTGTGGAAATGACTGGACATAAATTATTCTAGATGAGCTACAGAGAAGGACTGTGACTGCTACACTTCACTGTCCCTTCTGAAGAGGTGACTTCCTGTTTCTAATGTTCATTTTATTTCTTTTTTTTTTTTTTTCTGGTCTTTTTGAGACAGGGTCTCCTTGTAGCCCCAGCCAGCCTGGAACCATGTAGACCAGGCTGGCATTGAACTCACAGAGATCTGCCTGCCTCTTCCTCCTGAGTTCTGGGCTTAGAGACGTGCGCCACCACGCCCGGCTCATCTTATTTTCTACTTAAGTTAGGTAGAAAAACTAAACTTACAACTTTCAAATTAAACCAATAACTTTCCTTGCTCTATTGTTTTTGGAAAAAGATTATGAAACAAAACACAAAGACAAACATCATAAAATAACTTTTTTTTTTTTTTTCGTCTTTTTGAGACAGGGTCTTCCTGTAGCCCCAGCTGTCCTGGAACTCACTATGTAGACCAGGCTGGCCTTGAACTCCCAAAGATCTGCCTGCCTCTGCCTCCCAAGTGCTGGGACTACAGGTGTGCGCCACCACGCCTGGCATAAAATAACTTTTATACAGGATTAGATCTGTTTACATATAAAAAACAAAAGACCTCATTACAGTTAGATTTCACATAAATTACACAGAGTAGCTTTTTAAAACTACTATTTAATTCTTTTAAAGTCCCCTTTAAAAATTCAGTTTGAAGGCACAGCGCATGAAATAAACAAGACTGCAGCACTCAAGATGAATGGATACTGGGCATGGCATATAAATAGAGTTCTGGAGCTGGGAGTATCATTCTGAAAAAAACAAAGAGGTGAAAAGAACATGGAAAATACCATTATGTCAGACCTACAAAAAATCTGCAGCATAGAATGTAACTAGTACACTCATGTTATGCCATTTATGACCATCATAATTGTATATACTTACATAACTTTTATCCAATTGCCTCAAAACAGTAACCTACTTTAAAATTTCATAAAATATTCTGTCAAAAATCAACCAGGACAATATTATGAAAGGCTAGTGGAAGCATTAATAAATTTTTTGCCAAAGATAGAGGAAAAGTAAGTATCAGGAGGGTTTTCTTCATGAATTAGAAATCCAAATTCAATTGACATTAATCAAAGACCCTAATCACCTCCCCAAAGACTGCTTTAGTTAAAAGTAACTCAGGAACCTATATTTATCAAAAAGTTGCTAGTCAGAAAAATCATGAAACATCAACCATTAATGGAATTTTAGTAATTAGCAATAAAACAAATATTTAGGGTGAATGCATGGCTGCTACTGTTAAAACAATTCTACCAGAGAACCACACTATGACATGTTCACAGCCAAGAAGTTTCTAATTCAGCAGGGACAAAGCCTGGCGCAAGTACACAAGACGGTACACCTATTTAGTGTGGAGAATAAAGGGAAATAAATGGAGTAGTAAGTCATGTACTGTGTAACCTGGCGCTAGCTCAGAAACACAGTAAGTTCAGACGAAAGCACTACCTTTTATTTTTCCATTCATAATTAGTTTTAAATTTAATATTCACTAATTCAGCAAATCCCATTCAGATTAAATTTACCAACGATTAACCAATCAAGCATACTGAGCCAAAATACATTGTTTCCTTTCTGGAAGCTGAGAGAGTCCCAAAGCAAATTCTCTTCAGTGAGAATTGCAAGCATTTTTCAACTGGATTGGATCCCACTACCACCCCAGAGTTCCACACCAAATACATCAAAACTTTCTAAAATGACTTGGGCTCATCTTACCAAACTCTCAGTACAAGTACATTTGCACAGGCAGACACTTTGAACATTACCTCTCAATCACTTTGCTTTCATTGAGGAGCAGAGAGGGAAGAAAGTTATAAACTGATCACCAGGACAAAACAATGCCTTGTGAATAAAGAAGGCACATCTCAGATTTGAGCAAATTTCTTAATACTGTCATAACTACTTGCCTCCATGACTCTAAAGAATGGAAAGTCTCTAGGAGAAACACTTCCAAAATGTATTCCCTGTCCCGTACGGCTTCAGTGCCTTCTGCTGTTGATGCAGCCTATGATTTGATTAGATCCACAAGTAAAGGACAGCAGGGCTGAGAACATAGTCTTAGCAGTCATGGATCTTGTACATTCACAATCATAGGTAATGGAGGCTGGGGAGGCCTTCTTTTTCCCAGCTCAATGCATTATTTAGAAGTTTATTAAACACTCAAGATTTACAGCAGAATTCAGGTTTTGTTTCAGAAAAAAATTACTAAAGGAACTATGTGTATATTCATCTCTAAAAATATTTCATACACACTTAAAAAGACATGGCCTCCAACCACTGAGATGTACTGTTAAAGACACATTTAATTCAAGAGAGCAGTAAAGGTAAAGGTATCCTTTAGTGAAGACCACTGCTAAAAAAGCAGAGGCTGTCACATGAACTTGGTTGCAATGTCCCAAGCAGGGACTTGCTCTAGGCCTTGTTGGTTTTCTGACTTTGTACTTCTAAAAATAAAGCTGAAAAACAACAATACACCACATCGTTTAGAGAACCTAAAGTATTATGTGAAGAAATGAAATCATGTATACTTCATTAACTATTAACATTCCACAAACTGTTCTGTTCATATGCCAGGATGACAGTGAGATGGCAGAATTCAGAGTTGCTAATACCAGGATTAATTCTAGAATGGCTTAACCTTAAACCACTCAACTTACCACAGGTATTTGCTAACAAGTGTCATGACCTCGTTATTTCTTTCCACTAAACAAGATCTCTATTTTATAAAGCCACTTTGGATGCATTCCTTATGAAGTGTGGCTGAAGGACCTGGGTGAGCTGAATAAACCCCTCCACATGAAGGCTTTGGGACAACTGATACATTAATGGCTATGAATGCAATTTGGAAAGATAAGAGCTAGTTTTTTTATCCCCTGATTTAGTACAAGTTCAGCAGCAACTTGGCCATTACAACATTCAAGATATTAAACCATGACATCATTGGTAAGACTCACACATACAAAAAGCTTCATTCCACTGAACAACATTAAGACAAACACAACAAAATGCAAATCTTTCAGGTCTTTGCCTGACTGGCAGTGAAGATGACACACTTTCAGTGTTCTATCACACGACAGGCAGTCCTTTAGTTGGCTTTTTTTTTTAAACAGAGGAAGCCGTATTTAAAAGCTTTGAACTGAAAATCTTAACAAAATTGCTTGGTCAAAAAAGAGACCGTCGAAGGAAACATTAGGACAAAGAACCAAATCACTTGCAGAGGCCTTTGTACATAAGACTGGTCAAGGAATTTCAGTAATAGATGCCACCACAGGGTGAAATGTGGGCTGGAGCATTAAGTGTAGACATTTTGGATTCAAATGTATTAAGACTGTGCAAGTAGGTTTCTTCCATATCTCTAGATATTTTCAGTAGAATTCAGAGTCTTAGATGCTGGATCATTTGAAAATCACACGTATACAACACAGAAAAATGCTGAAATTTAGGAAACAAGGAATAGGCATTCTTAGAATAAACAAGTGCTTCACAGATAAAAGCAGCAGCACCTGTGGGTTTTTACCTAGTTAAAAGGCAGGCAACATGAGTTTTAGCTTCTGCTAGATCTCCCTCTCACTTCCACTCAAGTAGACATTTGGAACTTTCACAACAAAGTTGGTGAGTTCTCCTTTAAGATGGGGCTATTCAGACTTTGTCAAACCTTACAAGAGAGGTAGTAAAATCCTGCTTAACAGCACAGCCCACCAGTTCTGATCCAGCCTGGAAACAGGTAGAAAGACAAATACGGAAGCCCATTTATTCATTTCCTAATGTCATATATGTTTAAAAATCATCCAACCTCCATTAAACCTGAAAAGAGAAACTCCAGCTATTTATTAACTAGAGAAGAGACCTCTTCAGTAGATTGAGAAAAATCTCAAGTTTTTAAAGCTTTGAGTCAGAATCTGACTGGTGTCCCTGCCTTAATGTTTCTAGATTCTTTTGGCCTTTAAAATAAAAACAAACTAAAGCCACTAGTAAATACCTGATGTGCAAAATATGACATCTACTAGATGGCTTTATGCTGTTACTATATAAGCTCCAAACAGCTCATCTTAAATTAAAAAGGAAAACAAAGTGGCTGTCCCATCTCTGCTGCATAAATAGAAATCAGATTTTTAGAAAAGATTAAGAGTACTTTAAGGAAGGGAAGTTCAAAACTGCCAGCAATATTCACAGAGAATATAAATTTAGCAAGTTAACTTCCCAAAGCTCTTTGAAGAAGGAATCTCTCTTCTTAATGCAGTGTCTCCCAAAAGGAGCTGTCATTTTGCTTGGTGCTTATGCTAGGAGATATGTAAAATGTAGTTTTCAATGTTTGCTAGAATACAATGTTTCTTCTTCTGTGTCTGTTTCATCCTGGAACTCATGGCTTAGGAGAGACTTCTTGGAGCCAGTTGACATCATACGAATTTCATCTTCATATTCATCATGATGTTGCCGAAGTCGATGAAAACCGTCCTTGTGTCTGTTGGACTTGATTGAGCAGACACACCAAATGATGCAAGCTGTTAGGATCAATGCTGACATGGTGGCACCTGCCCAACAAAAACCCACGTGAAGATGTTAGACTTTACTGATATGAATAAGCAGCCACCTTCAACAGCCCTTTTGGTGATATGTCATTTATTTTAATTTCATGCAATTAAAAGTAATTCTTGGTCTGTGGCAGAGTGCTTGCCTAGCAGCCAGGAAGACCTGTCAATCTCCAGAATTACAAAAATAAAAAGAAACCAATCCTTTATTATATAAGGAATACATTTTAAAAGCATGCAAAGTTGGAAAAAGATAAGCAAAACCAGCAAACAGTAACAACAACAAAAATACAACCAATACCTTTAAGTCAGGTGTGGTGGTACACGCCTATAATCCAGCACTGGGGAGGCAGAGGCAGGCTGATGTCTGTGAGTTCAAGGCCAGCCTGGTCTACATAGTGAATTCTAAGACAGCTGGGGCTACAGGGAGACCCTGTCTCAAAAAGACAAAAACAAAAACAACAAGAAGAAAATTTACTACTCAAAGATAAATTTTAATTACAATAGTGTTATTTTCCAAGATGTTTTTTGCGGGGGAAGGGGCTGCTGGTAACTGAACATGCTTGGCAAGCACTATACCACTGAGCTTTATTCCCAATGCCTTAGATCTTTCATTTTTTTACTTAAAAATTTAAATTACATTTTATTTACTTATTCATTCATTTATTTATTGTGTGTGTATGCCTGTGTGTGGTATTTAGAGGTCAGAGGAAAACCTGTAGGAGTTGGTTCTCTCCCTCCATCATGTGGGTTCCAGGGATCGAACTCAAGTCATCAGGCTTGTGTGGCAAATGCTTTTACCTTCAAAGCCATCTCACTGGTCCTTATTTTGGTATTTTAAGATGGGTTTCACTCTATCTCAGGATAGCCTGACACTTGCTTATATAGTCCAGACTGGCCTCTAACTTGCAGTGATCCTCATACCTTAGGCTCTCTTATACTTTAAATTTGTATACAAAATAACAGCCTTAGTACAAAATAATAAGTCCTAAAATGATTGAGTTCCCAACAGCTAATGGCTGGATCCTAGCTCCTGTGCTTTTGAACACTAAGTTTTCAGGCTAGAAATTTATCAGGTTAGAGTTGAGAACTCTAAACGTCCCATAATAGGCTCTATGATTATGCCATGTTCCAAAGATACTACTTTCCTCCAACTAAGATCTTCCACATACATCCTGTAAAAAAACTTGGTTATTTTACGTCAATTCCAAGATGCTCTGAAAAATGAACGAAAGTTTATTGTGTCAAATAGACACAGTAGAGTAGAATATTGATTTTTCTACATATTTTCCCTCCTAATTTTTCAGTAATTCAAATAATGGCACAAATCAACCCAGCGGGAAGGGGACACACAAAAAAACTAACATTTCCTCTTTCCTGAACCTTGAAAAACCAAAACATAAGTCTAATTCCCAGCAACTTGTATGATCTTGATAAAAGGCAAATCATAGTTTACTCTACTATATTCATTAAGAATCATTTTGTGGGGCTGAAGAGATGGCTCCAGTGGTTAAGAGCACTGGCTGCTCTTGCAGAGGACCCAGATTCAATTCTCAGCACCCACATAGCTGCTAACAACGATCAGTAACTCTAATTCCAGGGGGTCTGACACCCTCTTCTGGCCTCCACAGGCATTGAATGCTTGGGTGCATTTACATACATGCTTGCAAAAACACTCAAAAATAAAAAAATTTTTTTAAAGATCCACTTTGTGTCAGTTATAGGTCTAGGATTCAGGGCTGCAGATCAACTCTGTTTTCCAGAGCTTTTGTTTTGGTGGGCGCATTAACTATAGACAATACAATGAATAAATGTATTCTATGTATCAGTTTGTGACAATGGAAAAAGTAGGGTAGAGAAAACGACAGGGTTACCATGTTAGCTAGGGCATAAAGAAAGGCCTCTCTGTGGCATGAATTTGAGTAGAGACTTGAAAAAGGGAGGGGCAAGCCAAGAGAACACATGTGAGAACAGTGGCTCAGGAAAATCAGGTTTAGCTAAGGAGACTTCAGGGAAAAAGTGATTAGCTAGAAGTGACTGTGGAGGCTATTCACTCAAAGTGTACTGGAAGGACTGGGTTTAACTTCAAGCACTACAAATTAAAATTCCTTTACCTGACACAGTTACCACAAGCTCCCTTGGCAAACCAAATATCCGGTTATCTGTATCAAAGACTATTACCACAAAACTGGCAGCATCATGATGCACAAAGACCTGAAAGGATAAATGTAAAAATCATGAAAAAGTCACAGTATAGTGCATCCTTGCTTCAGTAAATGCTTTAGAGCCTTTTAGAGCAAATTGAGAAGGTGATTCATTGTCATCTAAACTACACAAAATGCTATAAAAAATATTCTTAGGAAACAAAATGATAGTAGGATACCATAATCAGGAAGTGGGCATACTTTTATTTTTAAGTTTTCTAGAAAGAGTTTCAAGATAAGATATAAGTATTACTTAGAATAAGCAGTGACATAATCCTACTTGCATTTTATACCTGTGAATGTTGCTGCTGGTACCCATCAGCAATGGCATTGATGTTATGGACACCAGGAGCTAACAGCACATGGAAATAACCTCCCTCTTTTGTGTGTACTTTTATTTCTTCATTGAGTACAATGACTGCTTTAGAGATTGGTTTACCAGTCTTATCTTTGACAAATCCATGGACTCCTTTGTGAACCTGAAAAAAAATGTTAAAAGTATCATTTTAGGGGCTGGGGAGATGGCTCAGCAGTTAAGAGCACTGACTGCTCTTGCAGAGGACCTGGGTTCAATTCCTGGCACCCACATGGCGGCTACGAACCGTCCTTAACTCCAGTTCCAGGGGAACCCAAAGCCCTCTTCTGACCTCTGTGGCACTGTATGATATGGGTGCACTCACATACATGCAGGCAATACGCTCATACAGACAAAATAAAATATTAAATATATATATATAAATTTATGTTTTCATAACATCAGCAGATGTTTTAGAGGCAATATCAGCAGATGTTTTAGAGGCAATAGTCTAAGGCTTGACCAAAACCAACCAAACATACACACCCTATACAAAACAAAACAAAACAGAACAGAACAGAACAGAACAGAACAAAACAAAAAGCCTTGTAGCCTCTGGTGGTAGCATATGACCACAATCCCAGCTAGAGTTCAAGGCCACCCTCATCAAGTTAGCAAACCCTGTCTTAAAAACTAAAAAAAAAAAAAAAATTAAAAAGAGGGCTTCCAACTTCAGAGAGAATTAGGGGATGCAGAGATGGCTCAGTGGTTAAGAGCACTGGCTGCTGCTGAAGACCCAGGTTTGGTTCCCAAAACCTACATGGTGGTTCATAACAGTCTGTAACTCCAGTTCCAGGGGGCCTGACACCCTCTTTTGGCCTCCGAAAGCACCAGGCATGCACATGGTGCATATACATACATGCAGGTAAGCACTCATACATAAAATAAAATAAATCCCTTTTAAAAAAGAAAGAAATAAGTAGGGGGATAGTGGGTATATTTTAGCTCAGTGGTAGAGTGCTTACCTAGCATGCAAAAGGCCCTGGGTTCATCCCCAGTACTGTAAAAAACAAAACAAAACAAAACAAAAATGACCCTGTCAGCCTGGCTTATTCTTTTTCCTCACTGACCCTGACCACATTTGCTAGTCATTCAGTGCTTTAGAGTCAGAGCTGGAGAGCTCTGTATGATGAACGTCTAAAGCATTACACCCAGTATTCCAATGCTCTGAGGGATTTCCTTCCCAGAATACTAGCTCCATAACTGTGTATTCTTCAGATTGAAGAACACACAGCCTCTCTCATATATAGCAAATTCACAAAATGTGAATTTGAATACATGGCATCTATTTTGGCAACAAAATATGAACAAAATTCAGGCTTGGGAGATGGCTCCATGGATAAAATGCTTTCCATACAAGTGTGAGGGCTGGAATTTGGATTCCTAGCCAGTAAAGACCAGGTGGGTGTTGCAGTCCACCGGTAATCCGGTTGTAGTCCAGTGTTCAGGAGGTGGAAACCAGGAGATCCCTAGGCCAAGTTGGCTAGCTAGACTAGCCAAATCAGCGAGAGACTCTGCCTGACTCAGTAAATACAGTGGAGAGTGATCAAGGAAGATGTCTGAGGTCAACCTCTTGCCTCCACATGCATATGTACATATTTGTATGCCTACCCATATACTTGAACATAATGCGTGCGCGCACACACACACAGAGACACATGCAAAGAACAAAATTATTCTTTGTATGTATTTGAAAGGCAATGTTTTAATAAGGGTTTTCACTGAATGTACGCCTATGATAGAGCCTAACATTCAGGAGGCCCTGGGTTTGATCTTCAGTAAGGGGGTGGGGGCAGGAGGGGCACAAACTCAAAACAAACTTACCTCCACCAACATGCTAAAGAGAGACCTTTTATTTTCTGCCCACAAGGTGGGGAGTTGTGCTGCACTAGGAAAGTAGCAGCAGCTTGTGTACACTGTGATTTCTGGGCAATGACCGTAAGTGACACTATAATCCTGGAATATAAAGTTCAAAATCAAATTCAGGAAAATGAATAAATACAAGAGTAAGGCTTTGGTAATAAAACAAATAAAAAATGAAATAAGAAAACCTGATTGATGTAAACAAAGCATCTGTAATGTATCTTATAGCCAATATAAATAAATCACCATGTATAATTTGAAGAACATAGGCAACCAGATAAAACGCTTCCTGAAAGAAATGAAAAATACCTAGGAATATACTATGTTTATACTTAGGAAGACAATATTGTTGAAATGTATACACTACTCAAAGTGATCTACAGAGTCAACACAACCCCTTACCAAATTCCAATATCCTTTAATGCAGGGAAAGAAAAGCTAACTTCAAATTAAATTGGAATGCAAGGAAACTGAATGGCCAAAACAATCCTAAAGAACCAAGTAAATGGGCATGGTGGAGAACATCCTTAATCCCAGTACTCCAGAGGCAGGTGCCATTCAGGTTCTGTTCTTTCACTCAGTGATTGATAGTCATATTCCATTCTAATCACATTCTAGAAAACATTACCTTCATGCTGCCCAGGTGACTGTGCCATTCTGCTCCACGCATTACTCCTCCTGGAATATTCTCATCTACAAAGGCATTGTGAGATGTAGGATCAACAGGATCATAAGGCAAAACTCTTTTCCCCAAAGCAACCATAACCCAAATTAATAACGAAAGGTAGGGAAAATTCCTACCTGACTTATTTGGACAACTAGGCTGACCCATGTGCATCGATGGATGGTTATTTGCATAAAGAGATGCCAAATGCTTTAAAGTCTCTTTGTTTTCCACTACCAAGAAGAAAAATTTGAAAGTCAGTGGAGAAATTTAAAAGATTTCTGTTCAAGTTCAGTATCATGGTTTCAAGTCATCTTCTCCCCTCAAGTTTGCTGAGGAGTTAACCATAATTATATTGTTTTGTTTAGTCCCAGATAATCATACTTGGGAGCAAATATCTTCCTTACATTAAAAAAGTACTACATGTAGCTAGACCTTCAGTAGATCTCTCCTCTCTTCTCCAAGTACCTGCTTGAACTGTTCCAGTACAGTATGGACAATTTTCTAAGGTTGATTAGTTGCATACAGAATGACATAAATGTTCACCATTTAAAAGCACTTATTACACATTAACATGGAATTTCCTACCAGGCTTAAATGATATTCTGCACACCTGTCTGAACTGGTTTGTCATACGGATATGTGACCAGCACAGAACCACCATCTAAAGCAATAGAAAGGCTGAAGTCCTGTTTTAGAATCAAGTTTTCAATGATGGCTTTAGTCTCAGGTTGGGAGGCATTACCTACAAAAGAGAAAATATAAAACATCAAGTTATACTGAGCATGATGGCACACACCTTTGATCCCAGCACTCAGAAGACAAGAGGCAGGTGGATGAATCTCTATGAGATCAAGGCCAGCCTGGTCTATACAGTGAGTCCAGGCCAGCTGGGGCTACAGGGAGACCCTATCGCAAAACAAATATTCCCTATTTGAACTCAATCACAATGCTAACTCACAAAATTTGTAGACATTTTTCCCTAAGCGACCATAAGCAAGAAAGATGCATTCTAAAGAAAGGTTATTCTGAGTCCTACATACTTTGAGATAATGTGTGTACATTAGCAACACTAAATAACTGTGAGAAAATTCTTACTGGAAAAAAAAGAGAATATGGATTTATCATGCTTTTAAAAAGAACTTAGGGAATATTTCTATCTGATTTCCAGGAAGAAAATGTTTTCTGCTTCACTATTTATGAATAAAAAATTAGAAACAAACAAAATGTTCACTATTTTAATGTTAATGCTTGACTAACTCAGATTTCTAAATGTTTTCTCTGTCTTTTTGAGACAGGGTCTCCCTCCCTGTGAGCCCCAGCTGGCCTGGAACTTGCAATGAAGACCAGGCTGGCCTCAAACTCACAGAGATCTGCCTGCCTCTGATTCCCAAGTGCTGGGACTAAAGGCATGTGCTACCATGCCTGTCCAGATTCCTAAATGTTAAGGGCAAAAACTGTCTTTAATAAAAACATCACAGATCTATAAGCATTGAAAAGGAAAGACATTAATGATATTCTCAGTGAGAAGTTACAAAATGTACATACTTGATGACCCGATTTAGGTAAAGAACAGGTCACTCCAATTCAACATGCATATATATTATGTGTAAATATATATACATACAGATAAGAGAGGAGGGCCTTTGCAGCTCAATCATATTGACTGAATTTATTTTTTATTTTTATGAGTATATTGCCTGCCTATATGAGTAGGTGCACCTGTGTCATGTAATGCCCTTGGAGGTCAAAAATAGGTGCCAGATATTCTGGAACTGGAGTTCCTGATAGTTGCTGGCTGCCATGTGGGTGCTGGGAACTGAACCCAGGTCCTCTACAAGAGCAGCCAGTGTTCTTAACCACTGAGTCATTGCTCTAGCTTCCTGAATTTCTTTTTTTAAAAAAACAACAAAACTTCAATTACTTTTGCAAAGCAAAAGGACAAAAGTTCAAAATGTTTTCTGAATATCTGTAGTCATTTATATCTCACACACATACCTAGACACGCAAGTACTCCATTACTCATCTATAACACAGGGTTGATCAACCTCATAGCAAACAGAAAGAAAAAGTCTTCAATGGCTTAAAAATTAGTCCTACTTGTGAAGTCTGTATCCAGGTCTTTGCCACGGGCATTTGCTTGTCCTGTCTTTGAAGTACAGTCTTTTTCTTGTGCTCGCTCTCGTCCATCTGGATTTAGAGAAGGAACAATCACAATCCTAGTCCTGTCAATCAACTAAAACAGAAACAGAAATTAAAAGTTTATGAGCTGTATGTGGAATCAATAGGTACTTTCCTTCAAAGTCTTTATTGTTCATTTAAAAGTTAATTTTAAATGCAGAACTAATGAAATTAAAAATGTAAAATATAATTCTCACTTGCTTCAAATAAATTTTAACAAGAAAATATAACTATATAATGTTTCCTGTGAAAAAGAATAGGAGTCACAGAAGCACTGTGGGCAAGCCAAATTCAGTCTGCTGCCTGCTTTCCTGTGTATAGTTTATTGGAACAAATATTGGCCCATGCATTTACATATAACCACTTTTTCATTATAATGACAGAACTAAGTAGTTATAGGATATCTGCCCCACAAAGCCTAAATATATATTATCTGGCCAATTACAGAAAAGTGATCACTGACTTAGTAATAATGGTGAAGCTATTTTTTTGTATTAAAAATTGGAATGTATAATCTGAAAATATCAATGTCTATCCAGACAATGAAAACAGCATGTCAAAAAACATGAGAGGCTGGAGAGATGGCTCAGTGGTTAAGAGCACTTGCTGCTCGTGCAGAGGACCCAGGATCGGTTTCTAGCACACGGCAGCTGTCACCCTCTTCTGGCTTCTATGGGTCCTGTACACATACATACATTGAGGCAAAACACTTATACATGTAACATAAATAAAAATGTTTAAAAGTCAGAAAAAAAAACATGAGGTAGGCTATTTTTCTGATTATAATTTCTACTCCAGATGATCCATAAGCATTAATACCTATATATGGGACATAAACTAACTTCTGATGTACTTCATCCTACATTTATCTAATGGTGTGATGTTTAATCTTCATTGGCATTTTGACTGAATTTAGACTCACCTAAGAAACACACCTGTGGACATGTCTGTGAGGGTATTTTTAGAGAAGTTTAAGTGTGGAGGGAAGTCCTGTCCTAAATATTCATGGCACCATCCCATAGATTAGGATCCCAGACTGAATAAAAAGGAAAAAAGAAAAAGCCAGCCAGAGCACCAGCCTTCATTTCTCTGTGCTTTCTGACTGTACACTCAAAATGACCAGCTACCTCATGTTCCTGCCACCATGCCTTCCCCACCATAATGAACTGTATCCCCTCTAACCAAGAGACACAATAAACTCTTCCTGGAGTTGTTTTTGTCCTGTATTTGGTCCCAGTTACAAGTAAAGTAATTCCTAACTTATTTATTCTGGTAAAATAGTCTAATGAGTTGAAAATATTTGAGAGCATTTAACCTATTGTTTTTTATTTTGTTTGAGTTTCATTTTGACATTTTCTTTCTTTCTTTCTTTTTTTTTTTTTTTTGGGTCTTTTTGAGACAGGGTCTCCCTGTAGCCTCAGCTGGCCTGGATTCCTTATGGAGACCAGACTGGCCTCAAACTCACAGAGATCCTTCTGCCTCTGACTCCAGAGTGCTGGGATTAAAGGCGTACACCACCATGCCCTTTGTTTGTTTGTTTGTCTGAAACAGGTGTCACTATGCAGCTGTCTGCCCTGGAACTCATACAGAACTGACTGGCATCAAACTCAGAGATCTGCTTGCTTCTGCCTCCTGTGTGCTAGGATTAAAGATATGTGCTACCACGCTTGGCTGCTCACTTATTCTTAAATCTCTTCCTTTGAGAGAGATTTTATTATGTTATACCTTATGTTTAATTATAGACCTATTCAACAGAATTTCAATGAGAGATCCTGTTGCCTTTTTCATTTTTTAAAAGGCAGGGTCTACTGTATCCCAGACTGGCTTCAAAAGTTTTGTGATTTCTATTTAAGTGTTTTACCTATGATATGGTCTCATTACCTTAAGACCAGTACAGCTCAAGTCTGGCTATACATAAGAATAACCTGGGCTGGAGGTGTAACTAAGTAGTACAGAATGTGCTCAATATGTTTAAGACCCTGAATTTGATCCTTAGTATATGTGGGTGTACATGCCTATAATCCTACCACTTTAGAAGTGGAGGTGGAAGATTGTAAGTTTGACGCCAACCTGAGTTAAATAGCAAGTTCAAAGTTAGCCTTGGCTATCTAGTAAGAGCCTATCTTAAATAAATAAATAGCTAAAGATGTAGAGGGTTTTTTGGGGAGGGGTGAAGCCTAAAGAGTTTTAAAAGAAATATTGATGCCTGTGGGGATGAATCCAGACACTGGTGGTCTTAAAAGACTCCAAGGTGTTTCTAATGTGTAGCCAGGGGTTAAAAAAAAATCACTATCTTAGCTATGATCCCATTTTAATAAAGAGCAAAAAAAATGTGTCTAGGAGGTACTTTTTGCAACCTGGAAGAAGCTGTCAATGGAATCTGCTTTGCTGAAGATCATAAGATACTTTTTGAGCAAGTCTGACTTCACCTGGTCACACAGGTCCCTTCTATCCTGGTCATGTGAGTTCTTCCTCAGTTTCTTTTGGGGGAAGGCAACATGGCCTAACCATATGGCATGGAGAGCAAGATACACTGGGTATTTATTTCTTAAAAATTACAAGACAAAGAAAAATAGCACCTACACTTCCTTTAAATTAGTTTTGCTAATTACTGGCTTTGCGATATTAGATGGGTAACAAATAGCTCTACCTCAGGTTCCACATGTGTAAAATAGAGATAACTGGTCTTACAAGGATGAAAACTGGATTAATGAATTAATGATGCATATAAGGTACTGGGTAATTTGTAATTAGTATATATTCAACAAATATTAGTAATATTAGTTCTTCTCCCTTTTCCTAAATTCAATATAGACAGTGCTAATTAGTGGCACTCTTTCCCTCCTTGCCTTGAAACAGCACAGAACTAGATTTCTTCATCATATATCACTAAGCCCCTAGATCAAAGTTACTTCCTATAGCCACAAATTGTTACTGAGACAATTCTGTATCAGTTTTTTCAATCTATTGCAGCTTAAAAATACCCAACATTTTTTATGTAGTCTATGAAAAGAAAAAAAATTATGCCTTTCACTGTATTTTCAATATTGCGGCTCATCTCTATAAGTAACTGAGAATGGAAGTTCCTCAAGTCAGAGTGTAGAGAACTGTGAGAAGCTCTCAGTTTAAATAATGGAGTCTAGGACTAAACACAAACTTTTAGTATTTTTTCTTCTTTGCCTCTCAAAATACAGAAAGAATATAATAGAAAGACACTATGAAGAGAGTATATACAAAGATGATTCAGTCTGTTAAAGAAACATTAATATATCAAAAGTGCTTCTGATAAGTTTAAATGGTGCCCTGATATCAATGTATCACTGAGTCTTTTCCTTTAAGCATGTCAAAACAGGCTATTCTCTTACTTGGGTAACAACTGGGTTCTTTTTGTAATTCAGGCAGAGAAATTCTGCCAGAGCCAAAAGCAGTTCAGTTCCAACTGGAGCATTTCCATGGATACCGGCAACAAAACGAATCTTTGGTTCTTCAGGTTCAGATATATTGGGCTTATTGGAGATTTCAAGCGACCAAATGTGACGATATTCAACACTTTGTCCCAAACTTTGAAAAGCCAGAAACAAAAAGTCAACGAGTAATTAAGCATTATGTTAAACATAACTTATGGACTTTAAAAATAAAAATGAAGGGGAAATAAATAAAGCACAAAAGCCTTTAAAGCTGTTTAAAAAATGAATTATTGTGCATGTCAGAAAATCTTAACAAGTTTTCCTTGACTAAAACCAATCAAATAGAAGAACAATGTTACTAGATTAGGCAAGACTGTGACTTAGTTCAGCACCCTCCCAACTCAGTCCTTCACATGCCAACTTCACAGTATTTACCAACCTTCTGTTGTGTCTTTTGTTATTTTGTCTCTCCCCCACCCCAGCTGAGGACTGAACCCCAGGGCCTTGCGCTTGCTAGGCAAGCGCTCTACCACTGAGCTAAATCCCCAACCCCTGTTGTGTCTTTTAAATCCAGTCACTGAAATTTTTATTATGGAAATATTTTACTACAGGTAAATGTAGAGAACTTCTTTTTAAAACTAAATAATATATCTGAATAACACATTGCATACTTTACTATAAATGCAGTATCAGTTTGACAGAAAAGTCAATGAAAGCAAAACCATTGTTTCCACTTGCACAAGAGCCCTGCGCTTAAGGCTAGTTTTCTTTACTATAAGGGAAGATTTACAAGCATTAGACAAGAATAATATATTAGCGTTACACTGAGAAACATGAATAGGATAAAAAACTATAGCTTTTGAGAACTGTGAATTCCCCCAGCCCTATTAGTGCATTTCTCAACTCTCACCAGACAAGGTTCTTTTTGCAGTAGACAGCAATTAACACAGAAACGCACAATTGCTCATTGTGCAGAGAATAAGAGTCCCCAGCACTAAATGGGACACCTATATCATACCTTCTTCTCCTAAGGCTCAGGGATCATTACAGAGGAGGGGGAAGAAAGATTGTAAGAGCCAGAGGTAGTAGATGAATACAAGGAATCTGTACTGTCTGAACTCCACAGGGTAGTTTCATGTATGAATCCACAGCATTTATGACAGCATGCACAAGACCTGTGATAGCCCAAGCCACACAGGGGCTCAGCATGGATAGGAGTGGTAGGCAGGAGCCCCAGCCCTAGCTGAGGATCTATTGGCAATTGATAGGTGCTGGGAAATGGCAAGTCAGATTTCCTTTCTGGTGTGACACCTGGCAGGTTGACCAGACTTCAAGGGACAGACTCATACCCAAGGGTAGTTAGGAAACAGATTGAACTCAATAGGCCTTTTGGGGGGAAGAAAGGCAAATAATAATAGAGGAGTCGGGGGAGGAGTAATAAGATGGGAGTAGAGAAAGAGGAGGGGGTCTGAATATGATCAAAGTAAAAATACATTGCATGAAATTCTCAAACCAATAAAAATATTTTTTAAAAATTTCTTTTTCATGATGCCATTCAATGATACTTAGTGTCTATTGGTACACCATCTAAAACTCCTGACCTACCAATGGTAGGTGCTGCTTTATTTTAATGAAATACTTAAAAGAAATATTGAATTAGAAGAGTAAAACAATAAGTGAGCTAAGTTATATAACAAAATAATGTCCAATTTTGGCTTTTTTTAAATTTTTTATTTTTTGGTCTTTTTGAGACAGGGTCTCCCTGTAGCCCCAGTTGTCCTGGAACTCACTTCGTAGACCAGGCTGGCCTCGAACTCACAAAGATCCACCTGCCTCTGCCTCCCAAGTGCTGGGATTAAAGGTGTGCTCCACCACACCCGGCTTGGCTTTATTTTTTAAAGTAAGGAAGTCTGTAAACTATATATGATGCTATGGTAGATGACTTTAAAATCTGAACAAGGCAGAAATATACAAAAAAATCAATTGAGGAAGGGAGGTAACTGGCTCTGCTAAAGTAAACAGCACTCCCATCTATAAATATTATAAATCAGAATTTAAGAAGCTAAAATTTCTGGTAAAATTAAAAAAGAACCAATGAAACAAGACAAGTAAAAAAGTAAGAGGGTAAATATGTTCATTAGGAATGCAGAAATGAACTTACAAGGTTGTAAGCTCATGCAAAATGTAAACACCCTCCCTGCAGCAGGCAAACCACAGCAATCAACTAATCACGGAAACAATTTTGGAGTAACTAAAGCAAGACTTAAGAGAACCTGCAGTGATACAGGGAAAGTGAGGCAGAAGCCCGAGAAAGAGAAGGAAAAGCTGTCCCAGTCATCAGTTTTATGTGAGTTAATACTGTGGACTTCCCCAGGGAGAAGCACTTTAACATGTCTCTAAAGCTTCAGGTAAGAGAGACTATGAACAGAGCAGAGTTGAAGAAGTACCTGCAGCCAGGCCATTTTTTCTTAATATGACAGAAATCTTATACACTATCCCTGACAGGTAAGCTCATAGTTCCAAAATACCTCCACTGCCCTCAGCAAAACAAAACAAGCTAAACAATATTTAGTCAGAATCTAAATCTATGGCTGGAACATGGACAGGTGTGATATCAGTCAGAGAAAGGATTAGGAGGAAAAATTTTCCATTTTCAGAAGGCTCAATCTGTGCATTCCTAACCTAATAAGCAGATTTCCTCCAATGTTCCCAAAACTTACTGTCAGAAAAATCTCCAAGCAATATCTGCTGTGAAATAAGTAAATTCCAACTCTCATACATTTAACTCCCAGATACCTCTAAGTAAATTATAAGACTCATTCAACGTGGCTCGGTATGAATGAATTATCTTAAACAAAGAAAAAGAAAAACAAGAAGGTGATCCTTACGTGGTAAGATTTGTAATATGAGGATAGTTCATTACAAGCCCTCTCAAAAACTCTGATAAGTCTTTGTATGAATGGTATCGATACAGAGCGAGATTTGAGGAGGAGCTTAACATGAAGCTTTCCAGGCCATTCTCAGCCGAAAGATCTTTGATTAATGCTTCAAACTGCTTTGTAGTTGGGTCGTTGGCATCATCAGTGCTGGTGCTATCCCCTTGTCCTTTCTTTGATTCATTGTTAGCATCTGCTGAGGATCGAAAAAGTGTGAAGTTGACCTGAATAGCACCTTCACTCTTGACAGTCACGTTCTTCGTAACTGGGTTATACCTATAAAAAGCAGACAAATCAGAGCCACACTTCAGCTACATTGGGAAACAGAGGTGTGCAGAGGCTATGCAAATCCAAATAATAAATGCAGCTTCTTACAAAGTCAAGATTTCAACTTTAAGGAAATTTATGATTTTTTTTTTTTTTTGTCTTTTTGAAGCAGGGTCTCCCTGTCTCAAAAAGACCGAAAAAAAAAAAAAAAACAATTAACAAAGAACAAACGTAGGTAAATGTAAAATACAAATGAATTTCTGGAATTTAAAATATGATTTCAAACAAAACTTTATGCTTGTTGCAGATACCCCATGGCTCCTGAATTCTGCATCTATCATCTGCCATCAAGGTGGAAAAATCAAAGTACCAACTTAGGACATTCTCTGCTAGAGACTTCATTCTTGCCCTACGCTTTAGATGCCCTGCTATTCTAGGTTCTCTAATACTTAGCCAAAGTGAAATAATAGAAACAACTTGTAACTCATTAACATGACTTTTTTGATCCCCTATTTATGAGCAACTGGATATTTGAAATATTTGAAAGCTTTTTTTTTCTAAGAGAAAAAAAAGTATTAACAACCATATTTTTATATACTTAACTCCAATGAATGGTCAAACTAACTCTTTACAAGTATGTTGGCTAGTAAAGAGAGGGGAATATTCTGTGGTAGCACCCATTCTCATTAAAACATGAACAAAGAAAGCTAGCTGAATGTGGCTACATGCCTGTACTCCCAGCACTCGCGAGGTGGAGGCAAGTCACTCTCAGCCAGCCTGTTGCTACCTGAGATCCTGCCTCAAAAAAACCAAACATAAAATTGAAACCAAACCAAACCAAACCAAACCAAAATCCCTACATGAAAGCAAAAGAACCATAGGTTAATTTCCCCTTCTTCCTCTTCCTCCTCCGTCTTCTTCTTTCCTCCCCCACCCCCAACTCCTTTGCTTGTTCTTATTTTGAGACAGGGTCTCTATATAGCCCCAGCTGACCTGGAACTCACTATATAGCCCAGGCTACCCTTCATCTCAGAGATCTACCTGCCTCTGCCTCCTGAGTGCTGGGATTAAAGGTGTGAGTCACCATGTCAGGCTAATTTTCTTCTTTTTAATAAACAAATTTAAGTTGGGCTTGGTAGTGCCCACCTACAGTTCAGTCCTAACCATTCAGGAGGTAAAGTGAAGGACCGCTAAAGCCCAGGAACCAGAGGCCAGTCTGGAAAACATAGTGAAAACTGTTTTTTTTTTTTTTTTGAACAGGGTCTCCCTGTAGTCCCAGCTGGCGTGCAACTCACTATGTAGACCAGGCTGGCCTTGAACTCACAGAGATCCGCCTGCCTCTGCCTCCCCAGTTCTGGGATCAAAGGCATGTACTACCATGCCCAGCTGTGAAAACTGTTTTTTAAAAAGTTTAATAAAATACATGGTAATGCATGCCTATAATCCAGCACTTGAAAGGCAGAGGCAGGAAGATCAGAGTTCTAGCCCAGCCAGGGCTACAAGAGACCCTATCTACAAAAATACCAAAAACAATTTTTTTTAAAAAGGCACACAAAGCCGGGTTTGGTGGCGCACATCTTTGATCCCAGGGAGGCAGAGGCATGTGGATCTCTGTGAAACCAGCTTAGTCTGGGCAGCCCAGCTGAGGCTACAGGGAGACCCTGCCTCAAAAGACCCCCAAAATAGGCACACATGCCTATAAAGATGAAAATGGTCTTACTTAGAGCTTGTAGCATAAGAATTTTTAACTGAAGAAATGATATAAATGTACATAGAATAATGAATGTACGTGACAGCTTTGAAAAGTTATGATAGGTAGCAAATATAAAACGGTAGCATATTGGGTAATGTGAATATTCAGTAGAATATGAGTATTTGCTTTTTCTTTTCAGTCTGCAGGTACATCTCAGAATTATTATCAACAGGAAAGAAACCAGTCCCTGTGGACAGACGGCAGGTGATCAGAGCAGAGGAAGGCAAAGGTGTGTGACTTCAGAGCTTTCTGTATGACAGTGCCATGGGGAGCAGGTGCTCACTTTGTCACTAGAACAGGGTGAAACTTGCTTGAAACTTCCTGGCATTAAACTCCAGGTTGCTTAGCAGGCTTTCTAGGACTTTCTGGAAATAACCTTCCAGAATGGAGCCATGTTTGTCTTATTCCCAAGCACTCCATTTTAAAGCAGTCATCACTTACCCTCGAGCAGATGCTGTGATTTTATAAGTCCCTGGAACCAAGAGGCGCCAGTAATCTCCAGCTTTGTAAGTAGTCACTGGGTGATTAATTTCAGCAACACTGATGGTGGCATTTAATATACCCCTACCATCTGTGGCATCAAGGACAAATCCTTTGACACCCTGATGAACCTGGATAAAGGACAAGAACACCAGATTTTAAGGGGAAAAATCATGTAATTATTTGGGAAATTCATATCCAAAATAACAGTTAATAATATAAACCAATGGAACATATAGGAATTTAAGAGCTCAGAGTAAAGCTAACTAAATATAAATACTCATTAAAAAATATTTTTGTTTTTAAAGGCTAATCTTTCATAGGTCAAGTTTGTCTTTATCATGAAGAATATAAATAACACTGTTTTAACTTTAGTACATTCTAATTACTTTAGAATATAGGCTGCTGTAAAAGAAAACAAGCAGGGCTGGGTGTGGTGGTGCATGCCTTTAATCCCAGCACTTGTGAGTTCAAGGCCAGCCTGGTCCATACAGTGAGTTCCAGGACAGCTGGGGCTACAGGGAGACTAAAAAAAAAAAAAAAAAAAAAAAAAAAAAAAAAAAAAAAAAGCAAAGCCTTTTCTGAAAGGAAATTGATTTTATAGGAAGAACATCCTAAATTGAAAAGGGTAAGGAGATAAAATAATCAAATGCACTAGATCCTGGTTCCAAATACATCTATAAAATTATACTTGGAGCAAAGAAATTTGAATCTAGACTGGGTATTAGGTAATATTAGAAAATTACTGTTACTTTTCTTAGATGAGATAATGGTATTTTGAGATGACAGGTAGACTATTCTTATTTTTAGGAAAGGAATACCTAAGTATTTGAAGAAAAAATATCCCAACATTTCCAATTTCAACTAAAACAGTTCATCAAAAAACGTTTTGGTGTATATATTTTTCAAATATTTAATAAACCACTTATTTGCAAATAAATAGTGTATATATATCAAACTTATAATAAACATTTAGACAACATTAGTAATCCACAAGCATATTAAATCAAACTCAGTATTGTAAATTCCAAAGTAATGAAGCTTCATCAAGTTTCAGGTCTTCCAAACCTCAAATACTGAGTCCTTTAGCTGTTTTGTTTGCTACTTAGATGTTATAGATGTTTAATCATGGAGGATGTTTTGTTTTAGTTTTAAGTCAACAATGTACTGTTAGCACAAAACTACCCTTTGCTTACTCCAAACTTGCAGTCCAGATGATTTTATTTTCCATGCCTGAACATTTTATTTCTCATATAAATAAAGCAAAGACAGCAAAATATTAAAAACTGCTACATCTAGGTGTTGGAGTAGAGTGTTTATTGTACTAGTCAGACCTTTTCTACATATGTAAATCTATAAAATGAAAGTTATTTTTAATATTAGTAAATAAGCTCACATATTTTATACATTATCATTCAGGAAAATACTAGAAATATACTAGTATAATAGGTAATCCTAATAAACCATTCACATATTTCTTAGAGTCTTTACCTACAGGCCACCATGTGTATGCAAATAAAAGGAAACTAATAGTTTCACAAAAAGGAAAAAAATCATTGGCAATAAGAAAAAAATCCTATTACTTAGCAAATATTTACATGTGGATCTAATTTATGTCATTTTTTTTTTTAGAAAAACAGAGTGAAAAATGACCACTAGTCCTTAAGAGCAAATGTCCCTACCTTATTTAATCCTTTTAACGCCAACTCTTTCCCATACAAATAAACTTGTTTTTATCCCTGAATTTTCTAGATAAATATGCTAAACAAACCGGAATACACAAATTGGGCAAATACACTAAAGCAAATATATTTTAACTCCATATCTAAGAACTACATGTACACAAAAATCTTGCTCTTGAAAGGAATCATACTTTACTCCTGAGAACTCACCTGTTTCATGAACTGGATTAGAGATCTTCGATTCTGTTCCCAGAACTTTGGCAAATCTTTCTCAAATGGATATTTCACACAACCTAGTTCAATTGTTACTTCAAAGCAATTTGTTTGTAAATAGTTCCAGTCCTGCATACCACCTAAAGGACAAAAAAATTAAAATTAAAATAAATCACCTGAATAGTTTTAAATAGTTTAGATTCTGAAAGGTGGGACACATTCCTAGTAAAAAGTCAATTATCTTGGATCTGCAGTGATTGAAAAACAACAATGTATTCATAGGAGAGCCCTGAGATGCTCCCAATCTAGGCAGAACACCTGTATTTCCACACTTAGGAGGAATTCAAGTGTACCTTCCTACGCTCTTTCTATGCAATGGCTGGAGGTAGACTGCAACACTGTGATCAAGCTGTAGTGATACACTTTTACTCAAAACTCTAAGAGTATCAAATGTGAAATAGTTGAAAAGGTTAATTGAATGTCTTAAAACCATTTACACATTAAAAAAATAATAATGGTTCTTTCTCAAAATTAAAAAAAGGTCAGTAGTAAGAAGCACCATCCAGGAGAGTAGAAAATCAAAGTTGTAAGGCCATGATGAGCTTTACCTGGAACATTATACCAATTAGCTCCATTTGTTATTCCATGAGGAAAATATTCATTAGGGTACATATTCTTGCAAGGTCTACCTTGAAACATCTGGGAGTTTTCCTGAAAAAAAATAAAAAAAAAAAAAAAGATCTTGTATTTGCATCTACATCAAAGAAAAGACAGCCCCACTGGAAGAATATAGAAAACAATGGTAAAAGGTTGCCTAGGGGCATATGAGAGGTGGGGCGTAGAGACTTTCAGTGCAGAGCTTTTCTATGCCATTTGATTTTGAATGTATGAATTTATTACTTTTTAAAAATTTATTTATTTAGAGACATGGTCCTACTATGTAGATCAGGCTCACCTCACAAAAATCTACCGGCCTCTGCCTCCTGAGTGCTGGGATTAAAGGTGTGCACCACCATGCCTAACCATGTATAAAATTTTGTTTGATTGACTGATTTTTTTTTTTTTTTTTTTGAGATAGGGTCTCTCTGTAGCCCTGGCCTGTTCCTGGCCTGGAACTCACAGGGATCCACCTGCCTCTGCCTCCCAAGTGTTGGGATTAAAGGTGTGGGGCAGCTGATTGAATGATTTTTAAATTTTATGTGCATGAGTGTTTTACTGTATATATGCAAGCACACCCATGTGTACAATGTCCCCAGAGGTCAGAAGAGAACATCAGATCCCCTAGAACTGGAGTTAGGATGATTATTAGCCACCATGTGGATGCTGGGAACCAAACCCAGGTCCCCTTCAAAACAGTGAGTACTCTTAACCACTGAGCCATCTCTAACTCTCAATTTATTTTTTAAAGTATTTTAAAAATGTCTTATTTTTATTTTATATATATGAGTATATTGCCTGCATGTATGTAAGTGCACCTGTGTTGTGCATTGTCTGTGGACGTCAGAAGAAGGCATTGGATCCCCTTGAACTGGAGTTACAGACGATTGTTAGCTGCCATGTGGATACTGGGAATCAAATCTGGGTCCCCTGTGAGAGCAGCCCATGCTCTTAACTGCTGAGCCATCTCTCTAGTCCCTATATGATTTTTATGTGTTATGAGTGCTTTGCCTACATGTATGTAAGTGCACCACATGCATGCAATGCCAACAGAGGCCAGAAGAGGGCATCAGATCACCTGGAACTGGAGTTACAGCTGCTATATGGGTGCTGGGAACTGAATCTAGGTCCTCTGCAAGAACAGCCAGTGCTTTGCTCTACTTCAATGGATTTTTCCCTGCCAACTTCCCCCTCTCCTCCCTATAAAAACTTTGTGTGAATGTTCATTAAATTGAGACTTGATCAGAAAGCCTGTCTTGTCTCCATTCTTCGCATCCCTTGTCCCTTTCCGTCCCCTCTCCTCCCTCCAGAAACCCACGTTGACTGTCCTGCGGGTCGGGACAAGTACACCCATGTCGGCAATGCCCAAAGATGTCAGAAGAGGGTGTTGAATTCCCCTGGACCTGGAGTTACAGGCAGTTGTTAGCTACCATGTGGGTGCTGGGAAATTGAACCTGGGTCCTCTGTAATAGCAGCCAGTGTTCTTAACTGCTGAGCCATTCTTCCAGCCCCCTGAATTTATTTTTTAAAGTAAAAATTAAGGGCCAGTGAGATGGCTTAGTGGATAAAGGTACTTGGCTTCCTGGAGATCTGAGTTTGATCCCTGGAACCCACTTAAAACTGGAAGGAGAGAACCAACTCCAGATTTGTCTAACCTCTTACCTCCACACAGGTACCATGGCATGCACCGCCCCCCAACGCATACAAGTAATAATAAATTTTTTGGGGGGGATCTTTTTGAGACAGGGTCTCCCTGTAGCCCCAGCTGGCCTGCAACTCACTATGTAGACCAGGCTGGCCTGGAACTCACAGAGATCCACCTGCCTCTGCCTCCCAAGTGTTGGGATTAAAGGTGTGTGCTAGCACACCTGGCTTCTGAGGAGTTTTTTCTTTTTTTGTCTTTTTGAGACAGGGTCTCCCTCTAGTCCCAGCTGACCTGAACTCACTATGTAGATCAGGCTGGCCTTGAACTCACAAAGATCCACCTGCCTCTGCCTCCCAAGTGCTAGAATTAAAAGCGTGCGCCACCATGCCTGGCCTGAGGAGCTTTTTTAAGAAATTATTTTTATTTTATGTGTATGAGTGCTTGCCTGCATGTACGTCTGTGTACTACATGTGCACATGGTGTCCATGGAGGCCAGAAGAGGGTGTCAGATCCTCTAGAGCAAGAGTTACATACAGGTGGATTGTTAGCTCCCATGTGGTGCTGGGAACTGAAACCTGGTCCTCTGCAAGAAGAGCCAATGCTCCTAACCACTGAGCCATTTCTCTAGCCTTGAGCTGAAGAGGTTTTAACAAACAATGGCTGCTGGGTGTTGGGAGAGTCAATTTTCTTTAAGGATGTGGCCCTGGAAGGTCAACCAGGTTCTAGTGAATGGCATCACACTTATGAGGCATAACACTCATACACATAAAATAAAAATAATAAATAAAATATTTTTTTAAAAAGAGAGAGAACATGAAGTTGAAAGGGAGTGGAGGGGGTTTGGGGGTAGATCTGGGAGGAGTTGGGGGAGGACTGGGTGGATGAATATGATCAAAATAAATTATATGCATGTATGAAAGATAAAAATATTAAAAAATAAATGGATAGAAAATTACTTGTAACTATAACTAATATAAAACTGAGCCCAAACCTTTAAAAATTTTTCTGCATATTCATACATTTCATACTTTCTTTTTATTTATTTATTTTATGTGTAGGCATGTATTGCCTGCATGTAGGTAAGTGTACCCGTGTCGTGTCATGCCCACGGAGGTCAGAAGAGGCTGGTGAATCCCCTGGGACTGGAGTTACAGACAGTTGTTAGCTGCCATGTGGGTGCTGGGATTTGAACCCAGGTCCTCTGTAAGAACAACCAGTGTTCTTAACCATTAAGCCATCTCTCCAGCCCTCATTTCATACTTTCAAGGAGCTTAAATTCCTTAAGAGGAAACAATGTAGAGTAAGCAGCTTTCCCTGACATCTGGGAACTAAGACAGGCTCTGTGTGCTTTGATGGCAAGGTGCAAGTATCCTATTTTCTTCTTTTTAGATAACACTCTTGGAAATAGTTTGTATCTTTGTGTCCTCAGTATCCAGCCTGGTGTCTGGCATAAGGTACATGGGTAATTACTTGCTCAGTGAAGGGAAGAAAAATTGTCATGTGGTGTAAATAAATGGTAAAGATTACTTTTTATTTGTTTGTTGGTCTTTTTGAGACAAGGCCTCCCTGTAGCCCCAGCTGGCCTGGAACTCATTATGTAGACCAGGCTGGCCTCATCTCACAGAGATCTGCCCATCTCTGCCTCCCAAGTGCTAGGATTAAAGGTGTGTACCACCACGCCCCACTTGCTTGATTTTAATATCTTATTTATTTTTATTTTTGTGTATGGGTATATTGCCTGCAGGTATACCTATGTCATGCAATGCCTATGGAGGTCAGAAGAAGTCAACAGATCCCCCCTGGAACTGGAGTCACAGACAGTTGTTAGCTGCCATACAGGTGCTGGGACCCAAAACCAGGTCCTTTGCAACAGCAGCCAGTGCTTTTAACCACTGAGCCATCTCTCTAGTCTGAAAAGGACTGCTTTATTAAAACTGAAAGATGGTTAAAGCTTCATTTCTCCTTTTTGGAAATAGGAAAAAAGGATAAAAAAAATGTCAAGAGAAAAACCTTTTATTTTCCTAGCACTCTGAGAATTAGCCATTTAACTTTAAAATATATAAACAATCCCCTTCTAGAAACTTAATATCCCTGTTAAAAGCTTATGATCCCATAGCATTCTTTTGTGTTCTGGTTTTCTACTGAAGGCTGGCACCACAATTTCCTGTGCTTCTGACTCTCTGCTTCTATCCATATCTATCTATTATTATAGGACACAGATGTACAATTATATCATTATATACAATTATATAGGACATGGATGTACTATTATATCATAAAGCCAATATATGTATTATAAACATTCATAAAAACATAAACACTAAAGGATACTATAAAAAAATCTAAATAGAATCCAGGTGTGATGGTGTGCACTTTTAATTCCAGCACTTGGGAGGCAGAGGCAGGTGGATGAATCTCTGTCAGATCGAGGCGAAGCGAGGCCAACCTGGTCTGCATAGCCAGTTCCAGGCCAGCTGGGGCTACAAGAAACCCTGTCTCAAAAAACAAGCAAAGAAACAAACCAAACTCTACATAGACTTTTTAATATTCTTTCTTTTTAAGATCATCTTATGTAAATCCTATTCTGGACACCACAGTTCTAGGCAATAACTATCAACATTTTGACTTGATTCTCAGAGCAGGAAGGAGTCAGTGAAGGTATACGAATGGCTCTAGGTGGTTTATTCTGATCATTCATTCGTACTTTGACAAGAATGTCAAGACAATTCAACAAGCAAAGAACAATCTTTTAAAAAGGTGTAGAGGGAGCTGGGCGTGGTGGCTCACACCTTTAATCCTAGCACTTGGAAGGCAGAGGCAGCCAAATCTGTGAGTTCAAGGCCAGCCTGGTCTACATAGTGAGTTCCAGTCCAGCTGGGGCTACAGGGAGACCCTATCTCAAAAAGATTTAAAAAAAAAAAAAAGGTGTAGAGGGGCTGGAAAGATGGCTTAGCAGTTAAGAGCACTAGCTGCTCTTGTAGAGTACCTGGGTTCAATTCTACATGATGGCTAACAACCATTTCCCAGTTCCAGGGGACCTGATACCTTTCTCTGACCTCCATAGGAACTGCATGCACAGGTGCACTTAACATGCATGCAGGCAAATGGCTGGAACTGTGTGAGTATTCTGGGCTATACCTGTAATACTGGGATGGAGAAGAAGGTTGGTCGGTGGTAATTACTGAGAACTGGATATTGGGGAAGTGGATATGTCAAAGGGGTGTGCAAGAGCCTTAAAAATATCAATGGAAAAAAAATATCAATGGAATGATATGGGTCTAGGTTGGGGAGAAAGATAAATCAAAAGATTAATAGTTTAAGGAAATAAAGGTAAAAAAACCTAAGTCACAGTGAATGAATGTACAACATGATGGGAATATATGAAAAATCTAATCAACTAATTTTGATTTTGATAGCTGTTACAAAATCCATTCTAATTACTCCATGTATGCCCCCCCCCACAAAATATGGTATACCAAATAGAAGGTAGCAGTTCTTCAAGGTGAAATAAACAGCTGTATTCTTTTATTAGCAATTCTAAATATCAATCTCACAAGGTCCATTTGCAGGAAGGGAGTGAGTATGAAGGGGAGTATGAAGGTGAGTATGAAGGTGGAATTACGATATGTTTGTAATTAGAGAGCACGGAGCAGTAACAGCCTTTTATCTATAACTAATCAGATCACAGACCCAACCAATAGACTTAAAATGGAAACTAGCACCCTCATATTCAGGTCCCAACATGGAACATGCTTTCTTAGAACTATCTTTAAATAAAATTTTCATATACCCCTGTATTTTAACATTTGTGTGTGGGGGGTACATGTCTGGATCAATCAGCCTAATAATATAATACTAATGTGTGTGTGTGTAGAGACCAGAGACTGACACTGAGGACCTTCTTCACTTGTTTCCACATTGTTGTTGTTGTTTTTTTTTTTTTTAAGCTTGCAGCTCATGGATTCAGCTAGGCAGCATGGCTGGCCACTGAGATCAGGGATCTTCTGTCTCTGCCTCCCTAGGGTTGAGGTTATAGATAGGTGTTGTGACTGGCTTTTTGTGTGGGAGCTGGGGATCTGAACTCAAGCCCTCAAGCTTGCACAAGCATTTTACTAACTGTGCCATCTTCCTACCTATTAATATTTCTGATTAGAAAAGGCATCATACTCATTACAGGAAGTTTAGAAAACAAAGAATTGTCTGTTTGAGCTTGTTATATTATGCTAAGATTTTAAATACCTTAGTTACTAGTAATTTGTTTTGTTTTGTTTGAGATGGACTCTCATAGCCCAGACAGTCTCAGAACTTGCTGCTATAACCTAAGCTATCCTCAAGCTCACATTCCTTCTGCCTTATCATACAGCTCTCAAGTGCATGTACCACTATGTCCAGATGGTAATTTTGTATATACAATGAGATAGTAAAACTTTTGTCTTTACAGACTTAAGTCTTTGTTGTATATCTATTGAGATGGTTACAGGGTTTTCCTTCTTTATTAGTACAGTGAATTAGACTGACTTATTTTCAAATGCTCAAAGAGAAAGCAACTATAGACAATTCATAAAGTATTACTGTAGCTACAGGAAATAACATTCAATTCACAAAAACAAGATCTGGCTGCAGAACTGTAATTCATCAGTTCTCTGTTTCAGTCTACTTTACTGGGCTTGTAAGTCAAATGACATAAGGTAGCATCATTTATAGTCTATCTGCTATGCTAAAAACTGTGGATGAAAATGCATGACCTGCACTTAAAGACTAATGGAGAAAGAGATGTAGATATTCTAAAGGAAGTTGAGAAACGGGAGGAAAAAACAAAACAAAACAAAAACTGATGACTGACCCAGAGTCATGAGTATCTTAATTATTGAGAGTACTTGACCTGAATCCTTTATTTTAAGGCATTTTTAATGAATTAATTTTATAGTACCTGATGTTCAAACATAAGCATACCTTGGAATAAGAAAGTGCTATTTGTTGAAACACAGCATCATCTGGTGATTTACTGTATGTGGCAACTCCTTGTTGATCATCGTCGAAAGGGTAGTTAACCACCAAAGAACCTACAAGGGAAAAGAGAAAAATGTATAATTACATTTCAAAAGGGATCAGCAACATAAACCTTTCATCATTCAGTCATAGAAGGTGTGATGGTTAGTGTTGATTGTAATCTTGACAGGATTTGGAATCACCTAGGAGACAAGCCTTCAGGCATACCTTAGAGGGATTACTTAGATTAGGTTAGACTTGGGGCAGCCCTGTGAGTGATTATCTTGATTAGGTTAATTGAGGTAGGAAGACCCATCCTAAGCAGCACCATTACCTGGGTTTGGGTTCTGGACTGTCTAAAAGGAGGAAGCAGGCTGACCATGAGCATTTATCACTCTCTGTTTCATGACTGTGGATGCAATGTGATCAGCTGCCTGACGTTACTGCTGCCAGAACTTCCTTGCCATGGTGGGCTACACCTTGGAACTGTGAGCCAAAATAAACCCTTTCTCCCTTAAGTTGTTTTATCAGGGTATTTTATCAACAGAAAAAGACAGAAAGGAAATCCATAAGATTTGCCAAGGCTATTTTCCTTAATAGAAATGAAAAATAAAGGCTAGGAATGTACAAGGCTTTGGGATCAATCCCTGGCCCTATTAAAAAAAAACAACTTCACTAATTTTCTTAATGAAAATCAAAGTGAGCAAGTGAGGAAATAATACCCATGCATGATATCTAAAGGCTATCTTAACCTCTTTGGAATTTACTGGTGTGATTTACCTATCAGATCTTAAACCAGAAGTGTACAAGTTTAACAATTTTACTTTTATACTATTCACAATCACAAAACTGACTAAATTTTGGTACTTTTCCATAAAATTCATACATTTTAAAGATCAAGGGATCTTAAAATCAGAACAGAAACTTAAGGTTCAACTAAGCTATTCCTCATTTTGGAGATGTGGAATCTAAAACAGAGAAGTTAAGCAATTCAGGGACAGTAGAGGCAGCCTGAAAACTAGAAGAATTATAAAAATTCCTTTTGCAGTCTAACTAAAAATTGTTCAATTGGACTTGTATTATACGATGTTTCATAATTTACAGTAAAGAAAGTAATGCTTTAAAGCCTGTGAAGGCCATTAACTCTGTTCATGCTTTCCCACGGGATTGAAAGTAGTAAGGATGTATCTCAAGCAAAAGCCATGAGCTACATTTGTCAAACAACTGAAGCCTTTATTTTCCTGTCTGTGGAGGTCTGAATGAGAAATATCTCCCATAAGCTCAGGTCTTTGAATGCTTGTTTCCTAGTTGATGACACTGTTTGGGAAGGTTATGGAACCTTTAGAAGGCAGAGTCTTGCTGGAGGAAGTATGTCATTGGGGGTAGGCTTTGAGAATTTATAAGCCTTGCCCCATAAGTTTGCTTTTTCTGCAATGTGTTTGCAATTAAAGACATGATCTCAGCTTTTTGCGGCAGCTGCCTGCTACCATGCTTTATAGATTCTCTCTCTGGAACCACAAGCCAAAATAAATTCTTTGATCCATAAGTCACTTTTGGTCATGGTGTTTTTTATTTTGTGTGTATGAGTGCATTGCCTATATGTGTGTAAGTGCATCCATGTCATGCAATGCCTGCGGAGGTCAGAAGAGTGTTGGATTCCACTGGAACTGGAGTTATGGACAGTTGCTAGCCACCATGTGGGTGCTGGAAATTGAACCCAGGTCCTCTGCAGGAGCAGTCAATGCTCTTAATTGCTGAGCCATCTCTCCAGTAACTGGTCATAGTATTTTATTACAGCAACAAAAAGTAACTGTTACATTATCATAATGTTTTCATTTGTCTATCTGTCCACTTAGTATACCTTCTACTGAGCTGCATGTGTGGAAGTCAAAAGACGAATTGCAAGATTTGGTTCTTGTCTTCCACCATGTGAGTTCAAGGACCAAACATGGCACATCCTTATATACTAAGCCATCTCACCAGCCTTTTACATCTTCCACTCTTATTCACCCTAGCTGGCTATTGTGATTTTTTTCTGGGGAGGTGGATGGGGGAGAACAGGGTTTCATGTATCCCAGCTGGCCTTGAATTAGCTATGTAGCTGAGGATTACCTTGAACTCCTGATTTTCCTGATTCTCTCTCCTGAATGCTGGGATTACAGCATGTGCTACCATGTTAGGTTTATGGGGTGATGGGCACAGACACCCAGGGCTTGCTTCATGTATGCTAGGCAGGTACCTTACCAACTGAGATACATCCCTAGTCCCATGATTATTTTTGTTTTACTTTGAGACAAGGTGTCCCTGTAGCCGTAGCCCCAGCTGGCCTGGAACTAACTATGTAGACCAGGCTGGCCTTGATCTCACAGAGATCTGCTTGTCTCTGCCTCCCAAGTGCTGGGATTAAAGGTGTGCACCACGACACCCAGCCTATGATTCTTTTTGTAATGCTGATCTCTATTAAACTGACTCACTCCTAATGAATCATATGGAGATATGTAATCTCAGATCCTCTATATGAGAGTGAGGTCATTATGCTGCAGCTAGTATCATATTCTCTCTCTCTCTCTCTCTCTCTCTCTCTCTCTCTCTCTCAATGTTAAGTAAGAGAATGTCAAAATCCACGTTTATTTAAGAGTATGAGATTTTAGGAGAAAACATTACTGAACATGTGGCTCTGTTGGTGTTCAATTTTTATGAAAGACAAAAGAGCATGCTATCTGGTTAAGAGTATAAAGAATAAACACAAAACACTTGAAGACCTATTAGAGGAAATGGGGAAGGGGGAAATGATAGAGGGAAGACGAGAAAGGAAAAAGGAAGGAGGGGGGAAAGAGGAGTAAGAGGAAGAGGGTTGATGAGATGACTCAGTGGGTAAAAGTGCTCACTGGACAAACTTGACAACCTGAGTTGGATCTTCAAATCCCAATGAAAGAAAAGAACCGACTCCTGAAAGATGTTCCTTGACCTCCACACATGTGCTATGGAATGTACTCATCCCCCCATACATCACATACACAATAATGAATGAAAAAGGGCAAGAGAAAAGAGAAAGAAAAAGGTCTCCAGGGGTAAAGAAAGATGAGAGTGGTGATGCTGCCTGTAATCTTAGAACTAGGGAGGCAGGGCCAGAAGGATGGCTGCAAGATCAAGGCCAGCATGGTCTACAGAGTTCCAGGCCTGCCTCAGGTACTTGGTAAGAATGTGTCTCAAAAAATAAGCTGGCTGTGATGGCACACACCTTTAATCCCAGGAGGCAGAGGCAAGTGGATCTCTGTGAGATCCAGGCCAGTTGGAGTTATAAGGAGACTCTGTCTCGAAAAAATGAAAAAAAAAAAATCATAAAACAAAAAACAAGGGCTAAAGAGATGGCTCAAATGTTAAGAGCACTGGCTGTTCTTGCAGAGGACCTGGGTTCAGTTCCTAATACCCACATGGTGGCTCTCAACCATTGGTAACTCCAGTTCCAGGGGAATCTGATGCCCTCCATGGGCATTGCATGAATAGGTGCACTTACATACATGCAGGCAAAACATACACACAAAAATAAATTTTAAAAAAGAAAAGAAGCAGCCAGGCATGGTGACGCACACCTTTAATCCCAGCACTCGGGAGGCAGAGGCAGGCAGATCTCTGTGAGTTCAAGTCCAGCCTGGTCTACATAGTGAGCTCCAGGACAGCTGGGGCTACAGGGAGACCCTGTCTCAAAAAGACTGAAGAAAAAAAAAAAAAAAAAAAAAAAAAAAAAAAAAAAAAAAAGAGTGAGGAGGGAACAGCCAGGAAATTGTCCTAAAAAGAAGAAAAAATTTTGTTATCTGTCACAGTAGCAGGAATAGAACACTCTTTTGAAGAAAGCCTAGGACCATAAACAGATAAAATTTGAGGATTTTCAAATGCTCTCAACAAGAACTAATTAGTGGCATATAAAACTGCCATACCTCCATGTAGATTTGCTGATAGCACAAATGGATAGGCCTTCAACCAGCTCATTACAGCAATAGTTTCCGGTTGGGTAGGATCTGTGATCGGAACAAACTGGTCTGGGAAATTTCGGTTTAGGTCAAAGTTGTTGCTGTTGTTCCTGCCAATTACACTTATTGAATCTCCTGCAGGATAAAGGATTAAGCTATGTTTTATTACAATACAACACACACTACTGTAGCTACCTTAAAGGTACCTACAAACACATGAAAACTTACTGTTATCAATCCTACTGTGTTAAAATATCTTTTCTCCACACTGTATGTTTAAAAAAAAAAAAAAAATTTCAGGGCTGGAGAGATAGCTCAGCAACTGAGAGCACTGGTTGCTCTTACAGAGAACCTGGGTTTGGTTCCCAGCACCTACAACTATCCTAACTCCAGTTCCAAGGGATCCGAGGCCCTCTTCTCACCTTTGTGAGAATGGGCGCACTTACACACATGCAAGCAACACACTCATACACATAAAACAAAAATAATAAATTGTTAAATCAGCAAATTGTATATATATATGTGTGTGTGAATATATATGAACATATATGCATATATGTTCACATAATGAAAAGTCTGCCTCATCTTACATGTATATAAAAAGCTAAAACCAATCATAAGTCATAAGAATTTTAAAAAGTTAATGACTTTTCTCTATTCCAAAATAATCATGCTATATAATAATCAAAAGATTAAGCACTAACAGCCAATTATTCTTTACCTTCTTGGGACTTTTCATATCCATCAGGATTCATGGATGGCATAAGGTGAATTCTAGTGCTGCGAACCAAATCTGTTACTTCAGGGTCTGTTCCAAAGTTCTTACAAAGGTATTCAATGAGGTTCAATAGCAGTTCTTTTCCAACTACCTCATTTCCATGCATATTCCCAATATACTTAAATTCTGGTTCACCTGAAAACAGAATAAATACATGGAAGACCTCCTCCCTCCCTTTCAACTGTAATGGAGTCTCACCCCCCCAAAAAAATTCTGAACCAAAATTTTTTTAAAACATGCATTTTTCAGGGACTGAAGAGATGGCTCGGCGGTTAAGAGCACTGACTGCTCTTGCAGAGGACCTGGGTTCAATTCCCAGCACCCATATGGCAGCTACGAACCGTCCTTAACTCCAGTTCCAGGGGAATTGGAAGCCCTCTTCTGACCTCCTCGGCATTGCACACACAGGTGCACTCACATACATGCAGGCAATACACTCATACACATAAAATAAAAATAATAAATAAAATA